TCAACACCAAAACAAAACCCTTTTTTCAAAACACAAAAAAAAAAAAAAAGTGTGCACCATCACACCCTGCCGAACTACTACCTTTAAACGAATGACAGTGTGGAGGAAATGTAATCACAGGACATATGCCATTTTACTAGATAGACAGTGCCCTAAAACCTGATGCAAATGCTAGGCGTGGCAGAACACACCTCTAATTCTAGCATTTTGGAGGCAAAGGCATGGTGAGTCTGAGGCCAGCCTGTGCTACATAAGGAGTTCAAGACACTGTCTAAAACAAACTAACAAAATTGTTCAAAAACTTTATAGAGTGGAGATTTGCAGGTAGATACTAAGTTTGTTTTTCTCCATGTTCCCCTCAACATGCAGAGTACTTTATATAGTGCCAGTAGTAAATGAGCAGGTCATTTCCTGAGTTAGGGAATAAATTAATGATGAATGAGCTGGTAAAACAGGGAACCGTGACTTGGATCAGCAGAGTGAATTAAGAAGTTTGATCTAGCCTCTTTGCTTTGTGTGTCAAGACAGACACAAGCTGGAAGGGCTCTGCAGAAAAATCCTATGAGGGATGGGATATTACCAAGGGCTGACACAGTTCCATTTAATCTGAAGAAGTGGAACACATGTAGGAGGGTGTCATTAAGCATGAAGGGGAAAACAAGTAGTATGTGAAATAAGAAAGTAAAATGAACCGTGAATGAAGTTCCTTTTTTGTCTCTTACTCTATGTTAAGCTTAAGTCATATTTTCTTTACTATATACTCAGAATATCCAATAAAACAATAGCTCGTAATAATCATCTTTGCAAGATGCTTTGCAGAGTTATAATTTATTGAGTGCATTTGAAACTGGATTGAAAATAAGAAATACTGAAACTAAGAAAATACAGACCTAATATATTAAATAGAATGGTTAAGAATCTCTAAGTGAGAATCTGAAGAATTCTTCCTGCTACCCAGTTTGCTTTCCATTGCTAGGACAAACAACACAATCAAAATCAACTTGGGGAAAAATGTTTATTTGGCTTACAGATTATAGTCCACCATTTAGGGAAGCCAAGGCAGGAACTTGAAGCAGAAACCAAAGAGAGGAATGCTGATTACTGACTTGTTATCAAGCATGTTAAATTTCCTTTCTTATCCAGCCCAGGTTCTTCTGCATGGGGATGGTGATGCCCACAGTGGGTTGGGCCGCCCTACATGAATTAGCATTAGAGGAAGTACTCCACAAACATGCCCACAGGCCAGATGATGGAGGCAATCCTTCAACTGAGGTTCCTTCTTCCCATGTGACAAGTTGACAGCCAAAGTTAGCCATGACAGCCAGTAACTCAATCTGGATCACCATAGAAACAAACAAAGAAAAGAAAGAAAAGGGGGGAGGGGAGAGAGGGAGACAGAGAGAGAGAAAGAGAGGCAGGTCAAGGAAAGGATAAAAACATATAGGATTCATAAAAGTAGGGACACTTTCAGTAATTCAGTAAATTTAAATTTACAAAAGAAATGGATAGACATAAAGAGACAGAATAGTTTAATATCATATGCCACTGAAGTGGGCATTTTAATTGGCTTTTCTCATACTAACTTTATAATGTAAAAATGTGGCATTTAGAATTATCCATGTCCTTGTGATCTTTTTAGCATCTAGGTCCTTTTCAAATGTTATTAAATCAGGCGTGATAAACAAAAACTACAACGATGAAGTCTCTCTCTTTCATGTTGAATCACTGTGATGTAGTTGAAAGAACAATGAGTTAGAAGTCAAGATATGTGACTTCTGCATCCAGCTCTTGTAGAAACTACTTTTGTAACTCCATGTGAATTATTAACCTCACCACACCTTGGTGATATCAGCTTGCTAAATGAGAAAGTTAAGGTCTCCTGCCCTACACAGGGTGTGCACCCTATACCAGGTATCCTGCAATTAGGCAGGCCTTGAACTTAGCCTCTGCTTTTTACTTTTTTTGTCATAATTTTTTGTCATAATTTACCTTTGTTAATAAAACAAACTTATTAGTTCTTGATATATCAATTCAGAAAGTAAACCATGTATATAACTTTTTAAAATTAAGATAAACAGAAAAATAACACATTCCCCCAACTGAAATTAAAAATACTGCTTTCCTAAGGATCTGAAGTTCTGAAGTTCTCTTTGTAATGACTGTGGTCCCTACACTGTTCTGTCTTTGGCTTTCATTCTTGATCATTTTAACAACTTTGAACAAGGTACCCTATGGTTTCATTTTTCATTGGTCCTACAAATCTTATCCTGATGATATTTCTCAGAATGCAAACAGCAGAGTATAAGCTGAATACCATCCGATCCGATCAGGGATTTATACCCCTAAAATAACAGTTTGGTTCTGATGTTTAGGACAGGTGTCCCCATAGTAAATGGACCCTCAGTAATGATCCAGAACCACACTGGAAATCTCATCTGAGCAAACAGTACAGTGGTGTGACTCCTATGACTGGGTAAGGAGAGGCTACAAGCAATAGGTTCCATGAGGCACAAAATCTGTACATTCAGTCATCCTCATAGAAGAAAGCAGTACTCTTGAAACAAGAAAGGCTTTATGCCTATCTTCTTCATGGCTTCATTGCCTCAACAGCTTCTTATTTCTCTTACATGGGATTTAGATGTAAGTTTTGAAATTTGCTAGCTTCTTCACAAGGGTGGAAGCCATACAAGTTTCAACATCAGATATCTCCCAGCACGAGCTGAGAATGTGAATAAAGTTTTATCAATCGGGCAGGAACAGAGAGCTCAAGTAGTACTTAAGTACCAAGAAAGAAAGATGTACACTACTGAGATATTGTACTTCTGCGAAGTATGTCATTTCCTCTCGTCTATGTTGCATTTTTCAAGGTTGGAGGGTTTTTGTCATTCAGTCAGATATCTGTCATAGAAATAATCAGTTTTACATTGTTCAGTAAAGTCCATATATTTAATCAATGACAAAAAAATTTAAGAAAAGCAGAAAGTGCTGGGCAGGATGGACAGGAGTTGTCAGGCATAGGCCATCATCAGTGTGCACCTGGAGGAGCATCTTTACTTCCTGGCTCATCATAAATGCTGTGGTTTTATTAGCTTTGTGATTAGGAGCAGCTACCTTCACTTCACAGCAAGAGTTCCACAAGAAATAATGAACACTCCTAGTTTCTTGCATGCCTCCTTCATTCATTCAACAAATAATTAATAAGCACTGTTTTCCTTGTGATGCTACCTGTGGTTTCCAGGCACCTCCAAATATTTTTTTTCTTAATCATTGTATGTGGTTCTCCCATCAGAAATCTGTGTTTATTTTGACTTTTTAATAGAAAATAATACAGATTAGATTAAACTCTCAAGACTTACCTAGGGAATAGATAACAAATTGATATGGCAATTAATTAACTCAAAGTATGGATTGCTGTGACTTTAAGAGTACCTAAGAAGGCTCATTTCACAGGTGAGGGTACTGGGAACCAAACACAAAATAAAGTAGTCCAAATGGGGAGTCCCAAGCTCTGAGTTTGGTCTGATCTTTTCAATTATCCAACACTAGCAGTGTTCTAGACTTTCCAATAAGTACTGGTAACACATGGTCCACGCCCCATTAGCTCATATATGTGCAAGAGAATTCAATATGCTGTGATACATGCAATGATTCATATTTGTAGATGGCATCCAGCAAGCAAAGGAGAGGGGAGTGAACTCAGGCTGAGGTGGTCAGGAAGTTATCTAATATGGAGTAATACCTTGATGTTACTCAAAACCATGTGTGTACTACTTGAGACAGAAAAGTGAGTCCTTCTAGTAGTCGTTCTTAAATTGGACAGCATTTCCTTCAAGGCCTGTTAAAACACAGATTGCTGATGCTGGAGTGGGCCCTGAGAACTTGTATTTCAAATAAGTTCCAGGGTATATTGATGCTGATATGCAAACCATACTATGAAAAACCAATGAATGTACAGAGCAAACATGACTGTTCTATGACTTTCCATGAAAAGAAAGAATGAACTGCTGAGCAAAATCACCTTCTTAAAATACACCAACACTATTTCCAGATTGTTAGATTACATAGTTAAGGGAAAGATGAACACATACCGCTTAACTAGGGAATTAAAAGTCAATATGCTGCATCATTTTGTACTGCTGCACAGCAAAGTCGTTCAAAGGTTACTGTAAGTCTCTGGATCTTGATATTCACAATGCTCTCATACAAAAATCAAACTTTAAAATTAGACCACATCCCTGGCTAGGCTACTTCCTGCTGTGGAGGGAAATATTTGATCTTGCAGACTGCTACAAATTCCCACCTCTTATTCATTCTTCACCTCTTTCTTCTAAAGCGTTTAGCATGGATCTCTCCCTGGCATTTGAACATGTTCCCCCAGAGAAGGCCATATAAGAGCAGGGGTGGAGAGACCACCAAGACGCCTTATTCTCAACAAGAGAAGAAACTTCTCTGTTGCTCTTGACGACCCTTCCCGGGCTTTATACATGCCTCTGTACCAGTCGGAGGCTCTGAGAAGCTGCTGTGTAGCTATGCTGTGAGGAAAAGATCATCCCCCTCTCCCAGTTTTCAGTGGTGCCAATGTATGTATGCTAACATGTATTTATTGGTCAACTTGGTACAGAGTAGCCTTGAGAATTTATATACCTCTGTTAGTGCTTCCTTAAGCTAGAAAAGTCAATGTAAAATTAAATATAGCTTTATATTTTTTATCATCTACTAGTACTGAAGAAATTGATTTTCACATACATGAAGAAGACAGTTACATACACAACTGCAGTTTCTGGCCCCTTTGCTTTGACATAGCAATGTGAATAAAAGCTAGATTTTCCCAGAAGAATTACTCATTTATTATAGCACTTTCCAAAATGGTTTAACAATAATATTCAAATATATTTCTTCAGTTTTTAATGAAAATTGAAAACATGCCAGAGAGTAAACTGGTGGTGACAGAGTAGCTGCCTTCTTGTTCTAAATACAGAAAACAAATGGCAAAAGGAAACAGAAGAAAAAAAGAGTAAGTATCAGGTCATGTTATAAGCTCATCTACCTGTAAATTATAAGTAAAAAACATTTTTAGTGTCATTGAGAACGCGTTCAAAGCAACTCAATTATGGGAACCGACTGATTTGTGAACCAGTCAATGGTTCCTTTTCATTTAGAGCTCTGTTAACACTGCTTGATTCTAGGCAATCATTTTAAAAGTCAGTTTAGATCAACATTATCTACCTTAAAAATCAATATTTTCCCAAGACAGTCATAAAGGTGTTTATGAAAGTATCATTAATAACCATGACTAGTAAGAGTGAGTAACATATTTAAAAGAGAAGGCTTTGCTGGCTTGAAGGGATCTAGAAATTTATCTACCAATATTAAAATACATATAGCCACAAGGAAACATTTTTAATTAACATTCTCTTTTTGGATGGAGAAAAGTTTAACTAACCTTAGGGAAGGTTGAGATATTTGCACGACATTAGGGTAAATTTTAGGACTAAATGCAAAATCCCGGGAGAAGATGTGGGAAGAAATTACTTGAGCTTTCTTGTGAATTTTTTGTTATGGTTTGATGATAAATACCATGCAAATATCCTCTGTCAGTGTGCTTTGGCAGTCCTTCCAAGGTGGCCAGGGAGTGAGGAGGATTATGGAAAGAACAAAAAATTAGGTTGATTTTATACTAGAAAAATACCAGGGGGAATTCTGTAACTTCGTAGCAAGTTCTCAACCTCATTCCTGTATCCTCTACGCAGTGTTATAAAATCTTTGTAAAAACAAAAATACAAACTTCCAAATACAATCCAAATTGCATCCTTGCCAACTGGAGTAAGCAAAATGCTCCAAGTCACTTGCTCCAGTACTGTGGGAGTGTGGTTTTGGTTTGCAGAGACTGGAATGCTACACACTTTAAAGTAGAAAAAAAGGTTCTGGGGTGACATAATGTAAGGTGAGGTGACAGTACAGTCACTAGAAGATGTAGCATGGCCTCAGAACAAGCAGCTGGGTGTGGAGCTGCAGAATGCTCCATCTTCTCACTTTCCCTCTCACTTCACTCCCATAAATCTTCCTTTTCTGAATGGAAGACATCAGCTCCTTCATTCTGCATCTCATAGCTGTAGTTACTTGGCAGAGGGGAGCCTTGATGTTCACTTTGGAACGAAGTCCTAAAATCATGAGGAAGGTATCCCTTTAATTTTATCTGTTGGCCTCTTCTGGACAAATCAATGATTAGGGTTCAAGTACAGATAAGCAACTTATCTGTAGACTACAAGCAGGATGACACTGTAACAGCAGCTACTTGGGTACTGTAAGGCTTGGTCACGTGGAAATGAAAAGTTGTGTCTAGGCTAAGGAAAACTGTAATAAAAACCACTGCTTTTCATGGTGGATATGCTGGCTCATTTAAGTTAGATGATGAATGATCAGTAGCAGACCCACCTCATACAAATGAGAGAAAGTCCTAATGAAGTCAGTAGACTTCAAGGATTAAATGACATTTCGTCATAAAACCCTTTTGGGTATTCACTGAAGCTCTGTCTAAATCCTGCAAGCATTTATGAATACCATGAAATACTTTGCTGCATTACCTAAAGTTGAGCAAAGCTCCAAGTTCTTAGCTCAACTAGTAGGTATCTTGTTTAATGTTTTGTTTTGTTTTTAGTGCCAAGAATAATGTTCAAGGCACATTATTTTCCATATTAATTCTGTAAATGTTTCTTGAAAAACTACTAATTTCTTGTCGATATACTCAGTGTTCAGGATCTGTAGATGACCAACATGATCCTTAAAGAGAGCATGTGATTTGAAGTCCTTTTGTACCCACCTCACATCATATAGAAATCTAGCACGACAAATCAAATTCCCTCTCCAAACACCAGAAGTGTATCTAGATGTAGTTTAGTTTGCCTATCCAGAAATATCAGAATTTTTCTCCCTTTTAAGCCCAAAGACTATTAATGCAAATCCAATTGAATTTGCATTTGATTACATTTCTGATGGAAACATTCATATGCAAATGAAAATTCATGCAAAGATAGCCAGATAATTCAAATAGTTGCTGAAATATCAAGATAAAATTAGGATATTAAATGTACATCCATCCACTTTTACTGGGTTACACTAAGGTCATCAAGTAGGACAATAGCCTGAAAAACCTCAAATAAATTTTGTTTTAAATATTCAAATATGTATGTGTTCAGATGGAGCTGTAGCATTTTTTTGAATTGTCATAGTATGGAAAAAGATGTCAGCCATGGTTAAAGTTAGTCACATTGTTTAAAAACATTCACTTTAGCTGGGTGGTGGTAGTGCAAACCTTTAATCCCAGCACTCTAGAGGCAGCAGGTGATCTCTGAGTTCAAGGACAGTTTAGTCTATAGAGTGATTTCCACGGCAGCTTGGGCTACATAGAGAATCCTGTTATGAAAAACCAAACCAAACAAACAGCATTCATTTCAAATTGCCCCATTGTCTTCTCTTATCAATAAAGGCAAAAAGCAATTCTTTGTAAAACTATTTTAATGAGCCCAAAACTGGACAAATAGTTTGTGTAAACTGGCACCTCCCACATACTCCCTAGGAGTCAACGGAACAAGTTCAGTGCCATTATCATTATTCCCAGTATCAATATCCTTTGAAAGCACCAATGGCCTTGTGAATGGAGCAGCAGAGCCATGATCTTAAGCGATGGCTATTAAATCCAACTAAGAACAGATATAAGCAAAAGTTCAGTGTAAACTGTATTCAGCTACTGCCTTACATACCAAATTTATTTTTAAGGGGAAAACACACCTTGGGACCAGCAGAAGTTAAAGTGGCAAGAGAAGACTGGAGGCCACAGCATACAGAATTGTTAGCGCCTAGTTTGGTGGGCCACAAAATATAATTCTCCTTATTTTAATTCTGCTTGATCTTATGTTTATCCGTGATTTCAACTCTTTTTAGAACACTAGTGTTTCCTGCTTTGGCAAATATCACTAGTCATTTATCAGACTGAATATCCTAAAGATAAAGGAGACATTTTAGCATCTCACTTGCAAAAGCTGGATCTTTCCCCAAATTGTAGAGACCTTACTTTGTAAAGGCGACTTTTTTTTTCATCTCTGCCACCACTCCCTTAATCTTTGTCTCTTGAGTGACTTTGGACAGGAGCACACCCCCCCAGCACCCATGCCACCCTACCCTCAGCCAACTCTTTGAGCAGAACCTGCTCTTCTCTCTCTCCAATTCCTGCCATACCATCATTACAAAGCACAAGTGTCACCATTCCATACAACTCGCCTTCTTGCTTGATATCCTTCAACAGCTTCTTCTTGCTCCTGGAATAAAAGTGAAAGTCCTTAGTAGGGATACTGCCCCCTGCATGGTCCCATTTCTGCTGTCTCTGCTTCCCAACATCCCATAGCTTTTGTTTCACACTGCACTCCAAGTTAGATACTGAGATGCCCATGCTCCTTCCTGTCACCTAGACAAACGCTACTGCTCCAGCTTAAAGAGTAAACTAATTTCAAGCTTCCCCCAATAAAGCTTTCCTGATATTTTTAAGACCCATTGGATTCCTGTGTTACTTTTGTTCATACCACCATACAACTTTTGGTCTTAATGCCTAGTCATGTTTGAGCCAGGTGTTGTCTTTTTTTTTTGGAGGGGGGTGTCATTTGGATTTTTTTCGTTTTCTTTCTTTCTTTTCTTTTCTTTCTTTCTTTTTTTTTTGTTGTTTTTTGTGTTTTGTGGCTTCCTGAAGGGCAAGGTTAGCTCTCATCTTTGCTTAGGAAAATGAGACTTGCTTGTCAAGACTTTCAATCAATACATGTCAAATGAATAGGAGGTTTCATTTTCTAATCTTCTTATCTAAAAATCCACAAGTTTATAATAATGTGAACCAAAGAAAAAGTAAATTGACTAACTTGCTTGAACATCATCACATCACAACTTGCCAAGGAGGCTTCGTATAACAAGCATTATAGTGTTTCTTGCAGCAGAGAACTTATGGTGCAAGATCCAGTGGAGCCGGGCAGTGGAGGTACACGACTTTAGTCCCAGCACTTGGGAGGCAGAGGCAGCCAGATATCTGTGAGTTCGAGACCAGCCTGGTCTACAATAGCTAGTTCCAGCCCAGCCTCCAAAATCACAGAAAAACCCTGTCTCGGGGAAAAAAATAAGATCCAGTGGAATCCGAAGGAATGAAGGAACTGCTTTCAAACCATAGTGTCAAGAGTCTGCCATGCATTATGCTAGCAAAGCACTTTTCACAGCAACCATAAAGAATAACTAACAGCTATACATTATGCATAATTTTTTATTTGGGATGTGTAAGCCACAACTAATTTCAGGGATGCATCAAGAGATTTTAAGTATATACCATGTCTTGTGACACAAATCGCTGAAATTGGCTCACAACTATTATTTATTTCATGGAAATAAAATCATAACTAAAGGAGCTAAAGTCATATAGAAATTGTGCTGCAGTTTCATCAGTGTAACTCCATTTCTTTTTATTTTATTTCGATCAGATGTGAGCTTAACTTTATTTCCATTGACTATACAAAGATTAATATCACAGTGAGAATGCGTCATTCTGTGACTTCTCTTTAGCAAGGTCACACTATTGTATTTGTAAGGATGTCTGTCCTTTCACATCTGTCTCAGAATATGTAGACCTGACTATATCTTATATTTAATGAAAAGCATGGTAAAAACTCACATTTAGCACCAGATGGATCTGTGGATAGGGATGTGAACTATAGTGTACCTTAAGAAAATGAAATTTCCTTTTCATGTGTGTGTGTGTGTGTGTGTGTTGTGTGTGTGTGTGTAAAAAAACACATTATTGAAGGGCTTTGGGGAAGGTCTGGAGAGATCCACTCTGTATGCTCCTCCGTGTAGAACTTTGAGGTTCTCCTGTCACTAAGAGCTAAATTTACTTTTCTTAAGACAAAATGCAGTATCATTCAGACCATTAAAGTACCTGCAAGCTTACATTATGTCATGTTTAGGGATTTTTAGTTCCACTTTTAAAAACATTTAATACATTCATTTTAAATTTTCTTTCATTTGTATGTGAATTATCCAGATGAATGTTCCAAGAATAAATGTGTCTACTAACTTAAGCAAAGTAAGCCCTTTTGCATGTATTATAAAAATAAGTATTTAATCAATAGTTGGTCATCTTCCCTCCTGACAAACAAAGGAGATACTTTAAGTCTTACTAGCAACAAGCCAACTGTTGTTGCTAACAATGATGTAGAGTACTTGGTCTCCTAGGAAAACAGCCCTGAAAGACATTTCTCTTCTGCTTATGATTTCAGTTAAGAATGCAAATTGCACATCGGACTTTGAGGAATACTTTGCCAAAAGAAAACTGGAGGAACGCGATGGTCATGCAGTCAGCATTGAAGAGTACCTTCAGCGAAGCGACACGGCCATTATTTACCCAGAAGCCCCTGAGGAGCTGTCTCGCCTTGGCACGCCAGAGGCCAATGGGCAAGAAGAAAATGGTGAGGCTGTAATTCATTTTTAGCCACTATAGTGACCTCTGCAGCTGTTACAATTACAAATGCACTACATGCCTGGGTGTTTACCTTAAAATTTGAAGAACAGCTGCAGAGGCATGGAATTTCATGAGCAAAGATTAGAACTGTAATTTTAGGGTATTGTGAAATTTTTTTTTGTCAGCAAATTTGTGTCATTTGTACATCCAATACAGAATAAGAACAATTACAGCCCATTTCTAAGAGACAAAAATATCTAAATTTATTCCTATCTTTCAGAGATATTTTACTTTTGAGGAAAAAAAAATGTTTAAGATCACCGACCCTCTCACCTTTTGTTCTCTGACACCTGAAAATCACCTTCCCTCCTGTGAATTGCTGTGTAACAGGAGTCTAAGGTTCAGAGGAATTGTCAGTAACCCAAAGGGAATTTCTTCATTTATCAGCTGTTTAAATCCCCCCTCCCCACAAATAAACTCAAGTAATTAATTAATTTTCGAGCACAGTGTGAGCTGATTCGGACAAGCCTGCCCTGGGTGTGCAAGGGGCCTGGTTGTGAGGAGGCCGGGTGCAATGATGGCGCTCTGCTGGAGCAGATTGCAGTGATTCCTGTCATAGCAGCCCGGGCAGCCAGCCCATTAGCTGCCATTGATTTACTGACCTTTTGGCCCGCTCCTCTGCCTCTCGCCTCTCGGCTACAGACCTGCCACCTGGAACTCCAGATGCTTTTGCCCAACTGCTGACCTGCCCCTACTGCGACCGCGGCTACAAGCGCTTGACATCGCTGAAGGAGCACATCAAGTACCGCCACGAGAAGAATGAAGAGAACTTTTCCTGTCCTCTTTGTAGCTACACGTTCGCCTACCGCACCCAGCTCGAGCGGCATATGGTGACGCACAAGCCAGGGACAGATCAGGTGGGGGTTGGTTCTAAGTGATTTCTTTCTATAATAACCCCTTAGAGAAACGATATTGCTTTGATTGGCAATCATTATTAATTTTTCATGGCATTTTGAAGATGCAGATCTTTTAATGGTAATAGCTTTAATTGAGGTCTAAATGATTTTTTGATGGTCTCTTCTAATATGATTTAATAGTCTTATGTTCACGATCGAATGAGTGTGTTAATTTCTAATTTAGAAATTTTATTTGCACTTTAACTTGACTTTAGTTTCATTTTTATGTTCCACAAAAAGTGAATGAAATTGTAGCATTTTAATTATACATTATTAAACATCTCAGCAATTTTAATTCCATTTTTCACCTAGTTTTGCTTAGGCTTTTTTTTTTTTATATATATAGGGCCTAATGCATAGTAAAAGAAATGCATATTTCATTTGCCATGAAACATTTTCAAATTACTTAAACTACTTTTACAAGCTTGCTAATTTATGAAATCTACTTATTTTTAGGAAAATAGGCATATAGGCTATATGTGTATATACATAATACATTGGAAAAACAATAAAAACATTGGCTATAATTAAAACAATTCCATCTGAATACACATGCATGTGGTTAAATGCCAAAATTGCTTTGCCTCTTTTGGCTTACTTATTTTAAAAATAAGATCTGTCTTGGAAAGGAAGGATAGTGTCTTAAATCCTTGAAATGACTGAGTAGGATATGAGGAGGGTTGATTCACAACATCTCTTAAGTGTTTCAGCAAAGCTGCTCTTTCTGTCCTCCTGGGAGAATTGACTCTGCAAGTTGATATTATGATGTGTTGGGTGGTCACAGTAATGGTGTTTCATAAGTCACAATAACTGGCCCTACAGATATAGAATTGCCCTACATGAACTTTGATATTATGTGTTTTTAAAAATGGCTAGATATGATATTCTATATAAAACTCTGATTTGTCCTCATAGGTTTTATTGTGTTTGAATAAGGAAAAGAAGGCACAAACCCAATTAAGCAAGGATGGAAATACTATGCTACGAAATTTGACTATTTAAGGCACTTTATCACATAATCACACCATTTGTTTCTGATTGGACTTGCTACTTGACTGTTTTCCAAAGAGCAGCTATAAGTAATATGCTTGTATAGTTGCACTTATGTAACAGTTTATCTTCTCATGCTTCTATGCACAAAAACTCTAGGAAGAAAAATGCCTAGATATTTATCTAGTGTAACTGCTTTAAATTTCACATGCAGGAGTGTGATTGTGTTGGCGCATTATGAATGGTAGCTTTGGTGTTGAAAAGTCCCCTCATTTGCTCATGGCATTTACAATTAGTAAATTAAAATGATTGTATCATATTAACAGTGGCACAACTAAAGTTTATAGTAGTCCTCTGAGGGCTGTGGAGGAGACAAAGCAGCTGTTGCTGTTTGTTTATGCAACTCAGCAACATATGAGCGCTGGTCCCTCAATGGCGCTCGGCGGGTTGGGCTCCGCTTGATCTTTGAAGGTTGCTGCTGTTTGAACAACCCTCCCTGTGTCCCATGTAACACCATCTGTCTCACTAGGAATGTGGGAAGATTCAGCACACCCTAGCAGTTGTCATACCGTTTCTGTGCTGTCTTTTTTGCAAAAGGCTTTTGTGTCATTGCTGCAGAAAAAGGCCTCCTACCTTGAGCATCCAGAGTGGATGACTGTATTTTTGTTAACCTAGAATTCCAAGACACACTGCTTTCCCCCCTTGTTCAAAAAGGTCAGCTGTGTTTGATTGTATCTGTGCGGCTTCTGACTTGTCTTTTCAGCAAATTTCTTTTTTCTTTTGGTCCTTGCACACTACTAAAAAGGAAAATGAAAAGTCGTTGAAGTTCTTCCTACTGGCTTGTGATAAAACTGCTCAAGCAGCTATAACCCAAGATGTTGTCTCTTATTTGATAATGAATCAAGTCTGATAGGCAGAACCTAAGAGCAGGGTTGATGTGGGCCAGTAGCACAGTGAGTGGAATATTTAAACAGGCATACCAAATATTTATAATCAAGAGGTTTGGGGCTTTTTTTTTTATTTGGAGGGATTTTTTGGACACTTCTTTAAATTTCAGTTTGATTTAGTGTAAGATATGCTTCTACCCAGATACAGAAAACTTGATGAAAAACGTGTAAGTGTAGGTTTAAATTTTTTTTCATAGTTTTCAGGAAACTATTTTTTCCTAAACAAGATAGTAGTACTCTCGAAGAACACTTTTAGGTTTTAGATTCTGCACTAAACACAAAGAGCCATAAACATCTCTACAACCATACTTTCTCATCTCCAGGGTCAAAAAACATTTTAGGAAAGAGACAACAGGCATAATAGTAAAGCAAGTGTCAGATCCCCATGTGAAGCACTTAAAAAAAAGTTCCCATTTTATTAGTAACATTATCACTTTTATTGCAACTCTGAAAGACAGAGCAGATAAATAAGCATGCACTCAGACCTCTTGGCCTGTCTGAAAAAGAGGTATTGAGTAGTCCTAACCAATGTGCTTTGTGCTGCCTGAACAAAAATTATGGCCATCTTTCTCCTTTCACAGCACCAAATGCTAACCCAAGGAGCAGGCAACCGCAAGTTCAAATGCACAGAGTGTGGCAAAGCCTTCAAGTACAAGCACCACCTGAAAGAACACCTGAGAATTCACAGTGGTGAGTAGCAGGGGCGCTCGCACTCATGTTTGCATTATTTCCAACTAGAAAAGGGTTTGAAGACTATTTCAATGTACACAGTCCTGGGTGTAGCTTTTTGGACTTACCCATTTATTTCATAAGTGCTGTGTACCTTGGAGAGTCTTATGGCACCACTGTAAATGTTTATCCTTCTTACAGTTCACAAGGGGTTTTGATTTTTACTTTATTTTTTGGCCAAATTTAGAGATTTTGCCAAACTGTGTCTTTGACCTGGAGATATTTGGGCTGTAACTTCTGAAGGATATTCCTATTTGATACCTAAATTCATACAAGAAAAAGAGGGAGAAAATTGACAGGAGCTTATGTATGCCAAATGTTCCTTGACTCCTGTTAGCTGTACATCATAAACCTACATCCCACCACTGAGATTTCTGCTTCCTACGTAGTTTGATAGCTCTGCCAAGCATTTTATTACCAAATTGGATGCTATTCAAAGAACTAGTTGAACTTGTAGGATCAATGGAACCTCCACAGAGTTGATTAAAGCCATGGCTACACTTCCCTTTAAATACTGTGACATCTTCATTGTGCTATTGACTACAGATTAATCTGACACTCTGTTTTAAAAGGAGGCTGCAGATGGCCTGACAAGATTTGGGATCCTAGCTGAAAAAGGCAGAGAAAGCCTTGGCCTTCCACAGCTTCCATCTTGAATTATGAGCATCCAGGGTAGATAAAGCCCAGCTATAGTTTGGTTACATAACCCTGACTTAGGCATCTAGAATGTAGGGTCCACTCCCCTAGATTAATTTCATTTGGTTCCACATATTCTTGTCTTGACAGACTTCACTTGTTACCTAACCAAAGAAATCTAATGCTAATTTTAATTACCATTTTAGGTGAAAAACCTTATGAATGCCCAAACTGCAAGAAACGCTTCTCCCATTCTGGTTCCTACAGTTCACACATCAGCAGCAAGAAATGTATTGGTTTAATCTCGGTAAATGGCCGAATGAGAAACAATATCAAGACGGGTTCTTCCCCTAATTCTGTTTCTTCTTCTCCTACCAATTCAGCCATTACTCAACTAAGGAACAAGTTGGAAAATGGAAAACCACTTAGCATGTCTGAACAGACAGGCTTACTTAAGATTAAGACAGAACCACTAGACTTCAATGACTATAAAGTTCTTATGGCAACACACGGGTTTAGTGGCACTAGTCCCTTTATGAATGGTGGCCTTGGAGCCACCAGCCCTTTAGGTGTGCACCCATCTGCTCAGAGTCCAATGCAGCACTTAGGTGTAGGGATGGAAGCCCCTTTACTTGGATTTCCCACTATGAATAGTAATTTGAGTGAGGTACAAAAGGTTCTACAGATTGTGGACAATACGGTTTCTAGGCAAAAGATGGACTGCAAGACTGAAGAAATTTCAAAGTTGAAAGGTTATCACATGAAGGATCCGTGTTCTCAGCCAGAAGAACAAGGAGTTACTTCTCCCAATATTCCACCTGTTGGTCTTCCAGTAGTGAGTCATAATGGTGCCACTAAAAGTATTATTGACTATACCTTAGAAAAAGTTAATGAAGCCAAAGCTTGCCTGCAGAGCTTGACCACTGACTCAAGGAGACAGATCAGTAATATAAAGAAAGAGAAGCTGCGTACGTTAATAGATTTGGTCACTGATGATAAAATGATTGAGAATCACAGCATATCCACTCCATTTTCATGCCAGTTCTGTAAAGAAAGCTTCCCAGGCCCTATTCCCCTACATCAGCATGAACGCTACCTGTGTAAAATGAATGAAGAGATCAAGGCAGTCCTGCAACCTCATGAAAACATAGTCCCCAACAAAGCCGGAGTTTTTGTTGATAATAAAGCCCTCCTCTTGTCATCTGTACTTTCTGAGAAAGGACTGACAAGCCCCATCAACCCATACAAGGACCACATGTCTGTACTCAAAGCATACTATGCTATGAACATGGAGCCCAACTCTGATGAACTGCTGAAAATCTCCATTGCTGTGGGCCTTCCTCAGGAATTTGTGAAGGAATGGTTTGAGCAAAGAAAAGTCTACCAGTATTCAAATTCCAGGTCTCCATCACTGGAAAGGACCTCCAAGCCGTTAGCTCCCAACAGTAACCCCCCCACAAAAGACTCCTTGTTATCCAGGTCTCCTGTAAAACCTATGGACTCCATAACATCACCATCTATAGCAGAACTGCACAACAGTGTTACGAATTGTGATCCTCCTCTCAGGCTATCAAAAACTTCCCATTTTACCAATATTAAAGCAGTTGATAAATTGGACCACTCAAGGAGTAATACTCCTTCTCCTTTAAATCTTTCCTCTACATCTTCTAAAAACTCCCACAGTAGCTCATACACTCCAAATAGCTTCTCTTCCGAGGAGCTGCAGGCTGAGCCTTTGGACCTGTCATTACCAAAACAAATGAGAGAACCCAAAAGTATTATAGCCACAAAGAACAAAACGAAAGCTACTAGCACAAATTTAGACCATAACAGTGTTTCTTCATCATCTGAAAATTCAGATGAACCTCTGAATTTGACTTTTATCAAGAAGGAGTTTTCAAATTCAAATAATCTGGACAACAAAAGCACTAACCCGGTGTTCGGCATGAACCCATTTAGTGCCAAGCCTTTATACACAGCTCTTCCACCACAAAGCGCTTTTCCCCCTGCCACTTTCATGCCACCAGTCCAGACCAGCATCCCCGGGCTACGACCATACCCAGGGCTGGATCAGATGAGCTTCCTACCACATATGGCCTATACCTACCCAACGGGAGCAGCTACCTTTGCTGACATGCAGCAAAGGAGGAAATACCAGCGGAAACAAGGCTTTCAGGTAACGACATGTGTCTTTTTGCTCTGAAGAAAGATGATAAAAAGTGTAGTCTAGTGTGTATGATGCCCAAACTGTGATTTCCCAGCCTGCCCAGTACAACAAAAATTGCTTAGATGATGCACAAAGTTGGGGAAAACACTCAGTGAAAGAAAAAATCAGAAATAGGAAAGTCTTTTTAACATGAACCTCCAACTCTGAGTGAACTACAAAGCCAATGACTGAAAAAGATAGGCTTTTTAGGGAGTTGAGGCAAGAAAATTGCTAGTTCAAGGCCAGGCAGCAGAGCAGGGTTATGTCTCCAAAACGAATCAAATGAAGAATTCTTTTGAGAATTATACATTGATGCTAATAGTCAGTAGGTTTACCTGGATGATTGAAGTTAAAGTGTGTAGCAGCCAGGTGGCTTAGAAGAATGTATATAACTTGAAGGAATTACATATTTAAATTTTAATATGTATTTCATTTTACAGAATAGTTCATTGTGAAGAGCATTTTAAAAAATATTCTTCTTTCCCAATTTTCAAATTATCGAATAATTCATAGGTGGTTGAATGTGAAAGCAGGAATTGTTTTAGCATTACCTTGTATAATCCGTATTTGCAAAATAGGAGTCAAAGTGGCAGTGCACAGCTGTAACAGCTGTCCAGTATTCCAATTTACAGCACATCTGCCCTCTTTGTAAATGCATTTAAGCCTGTTTAATCTTCTCTAGTATTAATTAGTACAAACATAGTCTAAGAAAACTAAACTGTGGGATAGCAAATGGAAATGTATGTTATCATGCAAGTTTGCACTCCTTTGGACCAAGACAAAATAAATATCAAGAAATTTAATAATTTACTGATCTACATTCATTATTTCTCAATGCTGAAGGCTGTTTTAACATAGATAGAACATTGATAAAAAGTGTTATTAATATTCCCTATTTCAAATTAGAAAATTAAATATAAAAATATAGCTTAGGGCTTTTAGTTGGTAGACATACATTTAAATAGATTGTATAATAATAATATTTTGTACCTAAATATAAAATTCAATTAAAATGAGGTTTCTACAGCTACCAATCATTTCTAAAGTAAAGTACACTGAAAATTATAGCAATTCCAATATTTAATATTCATTTGTGGATATTACCTGGTATTTTCAAAAATGGAAGATTTAAGAAAATCCCATTTTCCCATCTATATCAGAGAAGGTTTATGTTTTGGTTGAATTGTGAGACTACACCTATTGTTAGGAAATAATTAAAAGATTTTAGTCATAAGATAGATTGACACCTAGCATTTTTAAGAACCTCCTGATGTCAACTTATGCATAGTTGTTTGGTGTAAACACAATGAGAAGAGACTCTGTTGAACTATGTGATTATATCACAGGGAGAATTGCTTGATGGAGCACAAGACTACATGTCAGGCCTAGACGACATGACAGACTCCGATTCCTGTCTGTCTCGAAAGAAGATAAAGAAGACAGAAAGTGGCATGTATGCATGTGACTTATGTGACAAGACATTCCAGAAAAGCAGTTCCCTTCTGCGACATAAATATGAACACACAGGTATGAGCGACTTTGACTAGCTAGCTAGAGCTCTCCGGCCTGCTGTACATTTCATAATATTTAATGAGTACACTTGTGCAACGTAAGATGTAGCATATGCTGATACCTTCAACAAGAAAGAAGTAATGCTTTTGCATAACTCAGTAGGACTTTCGTGTTGCCTGTTTATTGGATCATTCATTTGTTTATGAGTGTGCTTGTCTTCCTAAATTTCAAGTTATCTGTAAAACAAATTTACATATCATGTCAAAGAAATATTTAAATGCCCAGGGTAATGAAATGGCATGACAAGAGCTAATTATTGAAAGTATCTTCAAATTCTTAAGTTATGATGAATTTATTTATATATGTGTAAAAGAAATCTTAAAATAATTTTGGTCAATGATATATTAGTGTAATCATCCAAACATCAAGTAAGCCATGGTTTGGGGTGACTTTGTTTGGTTTCCATAAATTGACCACTTTTGAATCAATTATGTGTTATTTCCATAAAAGAAAAGCAAGAGACCAAATAAGCTATTGAATCTACCTGTAGTTGAAAGACTAAAATAATATTTCCATTCATGTGTCACTAATCAACAACAGTTACAAAGTCAAGTGTTCTTTATGACTAAAGACATGGTGCTTTGCTTTTTCTTAAAAGTGCCACCATGTAAAAAATACTTTCCACAATTCAACATCAGATCTGCAGCTCTGTGGTAGGGTTCCATCAATCTTTCCTCTCCCACTCCCCCCCCCCCCCCCCCCCCCCCCCCGCCGCATGTTCCTGCCCTAAAAAGGGGAACCTAGCCTCACCCAGTCCCTAATCCCTTCCAAGTCTTTCCACTAGAATTATGTATGGCAAGCTGTATTACCCTTGGTTGAGGGAAAAAATATAGAGTCTTATTCAAAATATTGGAGAAGGGAGATAGATGAAGAAAGTATAGGAAAACCTCTTAATTCAAACAAGGACAAAAAATACCACTAATTCATATGTGGAGTGTGGGGAAGTAGTGATGGGGCAAAAGAGACAAAGTAGTGGTTACATTTTAACTACCTGCAGATGCAGTACACATTCTGGTATTGCAGGATATCTTGGGAAACAAAAGTACTCCGAATCTTCCCAGATTTCTCACCAGCCATGTGTTAGAGGTAGCACGTGTGACCAGAATCAAGCTGAGCACTGAGGGAAAGTTGGCATGTTGGACCACTAGTGCTCAGGGCACTTTGTAAAGAGAACCATGGTTTTAACAGCCATGCTCCTCATCCAACCAGTTCAACTCCTTTTTCTCAAACCATGATCTCTGTGGCTAATATTTTAAAAGGTCAATTAATGATACTTTCAAAACACCCCAAATTTATTAGCACGTCTACACAGATTTTATACTTAAGCAATATATTTGAATCATCAAAATTTGCCTACACTGTTCATTTATTATACTTTCTTTACTACTGAATCTTATTTAAGTATTTACAGAGTAAAAAAAAAATATTTTCATGCCTAAATTTACTTTAATTTTAATCAACCTCAAATATATTTTGTATTTCATTATTCAGCTACAATAGGCACATCCCTGAAGGCATCTTTCCCTCTCTGATTGGTCTTATTATATGACCATATGCAAACTCTATCATTTACTAAATGGTGAGTGTAAAACTTTTATTTTAGTGAGGGCTCTCATACATATTGACATCTAGTCAATATATTGATCTCCTATAACTATGTTAGTCCATAAACTTCATAGGTGTTCAGCTAGTTGAGAGACCCAAAAGTTGACAAAAACTAATATATATGTGTATTTAATTTTTTTAATAGAGCACATTATTTTAAAAGTAAAGTATTCTGGTCCTTTAAGTTGGGAGATCTGCTGCCTAGAAACATTGCCTAGCAACAGGATGCTAACCATCCAACGGTTTCTCTAAACTGGCAATCAATTATCCTCCTGTTGGCGTCCTAGCTTGTCAAGTTTCCAAATGTTAACTTTTTGGTCTCTTGACCAAACATCTCACATTACTACTGTCATTGTATTAGGTTCCATCCAAGCAGAATTCTTCATGAAATTTGTCAGTATGATGTATGTGTAAATTTAGCTTACTTTCTTCTAATTGGGCCCCTTAAGCCTTTTATTTGTTTATATTAATATCTAGTAATATTTTTAAATGAATTAATATGAATATTATAAGAAGGGACTGTTTTGACTCTAAGGTTGGGCAATGAAGTTGAATTGTGATTTGATTATTACATGTTGATTATAAATGTGTCATTGATAAAGTATGTTTGTTATCTGTCTATAGAATTGTTTAAATTAAGAAGAAAATTAGTGTCTATTTATTCTTGGGATTCTGTGCTCTTTTGCCTCAATCTACTTTAAATTTATTTCCTAGGCAGATACCAAAGTCATACTGCTTAATTCTCTTCCCAATGGCTTATTGCTTGCTTGTTTGCTTGGTTTTATTTTTTATTTTTTTATTTTTTATTTTTTCTTTTGGTGGTTGGGGGTACCCTGGATAGCACAGAGAAGGAAATACTATGTAAATGTTATCTTCAATCGAAATAATTGTCACAAACAATGACTGAAATAAAAGATCTAAACTTTCTGTTAGGCACTGTCAAGGACTCATTTTTGCTGCACTAAAATTTTAATCTGACATGTATTGAGTGCTTTCTTTGTTGAGACATTGTAGCAGGTACTTGCAAATCACCTTATCTATAAAATAAAATTTTAAAAATTCTAGTTTTGAGTAGACAGAGTCTAAATTTTAAATGATTTGAACTTAAATAATCTAATCAATTTTGTTTCAAAGTTATATGGCAATTTTTCATGTCACAAATCTTCTATTTGTTATTAACTTTAGTCTTCACCCTAGCTGTCAAATGAGTCATGAACCTAGATAATAGTGGCAAAAAAATTGCCCCCAAATGTTTTGGTTCATTTGATAACAATTTGAGTGTTTTTCTGAACCTTGTTTATATAGAAATTTGATTCTAGAACATTTTTGTTTGACTCAGTTAAGCTAATCAAACACATTAAAATGAAATAAATTACCAAGTTAGCTCCTCCTTTAAAACGAATCTGTTAAATACAGATGCTCTCAAAATTAGTAGACTATTTAGTGCAAGGTAAGTGTCAAAAATTTCAGCCACTCCCCACTTTTATCCTTCGCATGGCATCACAGTTGAGCACGTTATCCTTGCAGGTTGTCAGTTTATGATAGAGATTTAATGTGTTTCTATTACTAGTATAGCATCTATTATCAAATGAATTTTTTGAAAGTTGGCTGCCTGTCATCATAGAATCCATCCCCCACACATTTCTAAAGGGTCTGAAATTTTGTATGAGGATAGTTGCTTTCTGTCCAGATGCTGCTCTGGTTTGACTATTTTAGAAAATAAAAAGCCTTATTGGCTTAAAGATCATTCAAAATGTTTCATGTATTCTCTCCATGAAATGACCTAACTGGTTGACTACCTGTGAGCCTGAGCTTATGAGACAGTAGCAAAAAGACATCATGGGACAGTTTTGCTCATGCATATTTTTAACTAAAGCAACAAGAAAAATTTCATGTATATTTTACCTCCACTCAGATTTATTTCTTGCATGAACTCTGCTCTTTGATGCATGAATCCTGCATAGAATTTAGAAATGGTGAACATGTATTAATGGATAAGAGTTAAGTGATTTAACCCTAATTGGCCTTTCACAATGAAGTCCTTGTACTAACAACTTTATATATCCTATCTCCATTATTTTACCTGTGTCCAGTCCTCAGGTTAGGTCCCCAAATGACTTTCGTTTATCTGCAAAGATCCTGATCCTCAAAGCAGTTGGCATACCAGAGACTTTGCCACAGCCTGTCCTAAAAGATGGATTTCAGTGAAATTGCAGAGCTCATCACCACTATTCAGCACTATACCATTCTGCCTCCATGGCACAATGGCTACTGCTATCAGTGTTTTCCTTTCTCACAGTAACATCATCACTTTAAATATACTCATACAAACAAAGAAGACCAAAATGGTGCCATAGAAGCTTGAATATTTTC